TGGTAAGACGTGATTATTTCTGTCAGGGGGCAAAATAAAATCCTCACCTGCACAGTCGTGGCGACAGCACTAGCCTTGCAGGCGTAAATCCTCAGACTCAAAGACCCCCCCCCCCCCCTCACCCCCTGCCTGCACCGCAAAAGTGGCTAAATTGAAGGCAGTAATTGGCAGTTGGTAGTGCTATTCAAAGCGCGAATCCTGACACTTCAACACATATTTTTGCAAAGTCCTTGTAAAACTTCCCTCTATGTGCGGTTACCTTCATATTCGTCCCTGGACATGCAGGCGTTGTTGGTAATGAAAGAGATGATAGACTGCCATGTGCTGCATTAATTGAAGATAGCCGGCCCATGGATCACGCAGACGTCGTCATTGCCCTTAGAGAGATGGGAAGTTCTAAGGATTTTGGAAGCAACGTGTCCACATCGCTGCTAATAATACGATAATTGGGAGTAAAAGTCGGCTCAGCAAAGCACGAGAAGCACACCGAACGCACACGACGTCTTGTTAACCAAAAAAGGACTGTCACTTTTGACCGCGCAAAGCTGATTAATATATTGAGAGGGGAATTTGAGCGACTGTGGATGTGTCCAGAGTGCTCTGAAGATAATCTAACTCATAACTCATAAATATCTCTCAAACTCCGGTACGAATTGCATATCGCCTTAGATTTCCTATGTCATTATGATTTTATGAATTTACAATTGCACAGATGCTGATGTTTTCTTAAAGCGGCGAATTTCTTTGAACTTTGTTTGACAAATAATTTGCGTACCCCTTAAATTAGAATTTACAGTAAATGACGCACGTGTATTAATTGTTTTTGGATGAGTTCTCATGTGCAACGAGGGGTGGTGATTCTTTCACTTGCCTATCCGGCATGCAATGAAAAATCCTCAACCCACGGGAGACTACTGCTGGAGATGACCAACTGAAACGCCAATGACACGGACGCAATCTGATGTTTTGTATACATTTATGATTGTTTTGCTTCACAGACAGATGACATTCGACTTCAAAGGATACATCCCTAATTAGTCGACTTTTACGACATGCTTTCGTGCCGCTAAACACATTGTTGAGCCGCGGCTAGACGCCTCTGCTAGGCGCCCGAAGGCTGTCAGAGATCACGATTTATAACTTGGAAACTATGCCAAAGTGGTGCCCACAAGGTCTCTCATAAGGATTTCCGTTGCAGCAGAAAACTTAGCATACCAAATGTTTATATGCCTTCGCATATTCTTTCTTCTCTTTTGTTTTCTTTTCTTCTAGGAGCCAATCGTCACTAAAATCAGAGATCACGAGTAAGAGGGGTAGTCGTAGGGTCCAGCCCCCCCCCCCCCCCCAAAAAAAATACTGTTTTAAATTGCCGTGATGTAGCAGCTAAATGCTCGCTTCTAAGCCCGAATGTCCTGGGTTCAAAGCCATACGGAGCTTGGCCTTTTTGAGACATAACCTTGGCTTCCAGGACAACCCAGACTTGAATGGGTACCAGGTAAAGTCCTGGGTAGTAAAGACGGCCGGCGTGATGTTGACTGCATCGTCCCACCGAGTGCCGAGTGGTCTGCAAAATAGAGCTCAAGCATTATATGCCCGATTCGCCTGGAGGTGTCGGGGTAAAAGTTCTTTAAAACAAAATGGTTGTGAAAATAATATCTTCAGCTTGATTTGTACTCTGTTTTTGGAGCTCACGCATATATAATACAGTCAGATCCCCAAACATTAAATATTGAAACCCTGAAAACATTGTCTGTCCCGAAGTGTCGCGGTCGTGTAAGCAGCTCTTCTCTCATCCGTCTGGCTTATTTCATGAACAGGTCCCTCAGAGACGGCGCTGTGTTGTCTCTCGTTTAGGTTCTGGGTCATTTAGACCAGCAGTTCTCAAAATGGGTGCCGCGGCACCCATGCCAGGGGTGCGGGAAGCGTATGCCAAGGGTGCTGGGAGCGTATGCCAGGGTTGCTGCGAGCGTATGCCAGGGGTGCTGCGAGCGTATGCCAGGGGTGCTGGGACCGTATGCCAGGGGTGCTGGGAGTGTATGCCGGGGTGCCGTGGCCGTAATCAAGAATTTTTTTTTCAAAATCTGCGTGAGATTAGCGAAGACATTAGTTTAAAACAGAAATACCATGAAGGACACGAAGAAGAGTTCTGGATGCAGGTGTATTCAGAAGACATAACTATTGGCAGGGCTGCAGTGCAATCTCAACGTAGGCTTACATTGAAAAACACACAAAGGAGCAACTGATCTTACCTTAAACACAAAGGGAATAATGACAAATTCAATCAAACAGTTGGATTCTCCCATTTAAAAAGAACTGAAAATCAAATTTGCACTGTTTTCTCCCTCCTTTTCCTATGTAATCAAACCGCTCTAAGGGTGGGTGAGCCGTGAAAATTTTGAAAATAGATTCTGACCAAAACATATCTCCATACTTTCTATTTCGCCTTGTTTTAAAACAACCAGACTGCCAACTTGAAGTGGAGAGTGATTTATACCTTGTTTCAACATTAGACCAAAAATAGCTGAATGAATGAAGTTCAACCACACCAGGACAGCGCAACCAGGTATAAACGAAACGAGCCAAAGCGCCAACATTCGGATGAGAATCACCCTGGAAACCCCGTTCAATCGTTAGGTTATTTAGGGCCCCCGACAACAGCTGGAGTGAGGCTTTAAAATAACGAACAGTTGTACTTCATATTGGGCAAATAACTTCTCTACTTCTACTTTTTAGGATGAAATTTTTTCCTTATTTGAAACCCTACTCTGGCTCTTGCCAGGGGCCGCAATATAGCCAGGCCATAAATATGGCCCAATGGCTGAACGCGGTATGAACACAATCCAAAACCAAATGAGATCGAGACCAGAAAAGTCACCACAAATATAGCTGACAGGAAAGTGAGCAGAAATGTGATCTGACCTAGCTGAAAGTGGTCAACGAAAGAGAATTTGAATTTGAACGCGGTTTCTGGGACCTCTCCACGGTGAGCCTCACCCACATGGTAGCACTCTGTGACATCGGGTGTTTATCGCTTGTTTGATGTCCTGGTGGGGTAGAAAGTCAGTCAGTCAGTCCATATTGGGACAGCAACATATTAATCAGAAATAGCATAAATCATTAAGACACATTAATGTCAACCCACGCTGATATGTGGATACTAAATTACCAGCAGTTGGTGATTGTTTCTTGTATATTATTTATGGAGCTGCGTGGTCTCGCTCGAGTCATGGTGTGCTAGGGCTTCCGGGTTCAATCCCTGGTAAGGGATAGAATTTGTGTACTTGGACCTAGTAATTCCCCCTGTTCTCTGGGTAGAGAGATCGGACGCCCGTGTGCATTATTGTGCACGTAAAAAAATTATTTGGCAGTTAGAAATAAAAAAGAGTAGACTAACGATACTGCCTAGGAAATTTGGAGTTAAAAGTCTATCTAAAGTATTTCAGGATCCTCACCGGTGCTACAGAGCCTGTGCACTGTGCTGAACTTCTTCAGACTCAGACTTGAATTATATATAGGAAGAACGAAGCGCTTATAAGTTACTACCCGTGTGCCATGATGTCACTCCGTTGTTCAAACCTTCAAACTTTCTTGCATGTATTGACAAACTGACTCGTGTGTATGTTTTCTTCAAATTCCTTTTATAAGTGTTTGGGATTTGTCTTTCTGTCCACATCTTTTAATCCTTTTTTTTTTTTTTTGTTCAAGTTGGAGTGGAGATCTTGCGATATATTTAAAAAAAAAAGGTGCCACCTGAAAATGTTTGAAACCCCACGATTTCATCAAACAAAGGAGTCATACACAGTTTTTAAAAAAATGACAAAAATATCTATCTCCTACAAACTAGCCGTGTATTTAGATTTCCAATAAAATCACTCACAATTACAGTGAAGTACAGACAGCAGACTACTCTGTTATACAAAACGGCAGCTCCGTACAATTATTGATGGCTGAAACAGAAGGAACAGTTCTACCAATACAGTCTGCAGGCCACGTTTGCATCATACGTCTGGACTTTATCAGTTAATCATAATACGTTTCTGTCGCGTCCGAGAAGGGAAAGAAACTAATACGTTAGTAGAGACTCTGCCTAAGCAGACACACAGCTTCGTTCTGTAAATGACATCATTAAGACGGGACATAAGAATTACATATGACTGTGGGATATTAGGGAATTGTCGAGACAGTTTTATCTGAAGTTGTAAGTCGTTTATTTCTTCTTCTTCCTTCTTCTTCTTCTGCTTCTTCTTCTTTTTCTTCTTCTTCTTCTTCTTCTTTTTCTTCTTCTTCTTCTTCTTCTTTTTCTTCTTCTTCTTCTTCTTCTTTTTCTTTTTCTTCTTCTTCTTCTTTTTTCTTCTTCTTCTTCTTTTTCTTCTTCTTCTTCTTCTTCTTTTTCTTCTTCTTCCTTTTTTTCTTCTTTTTTCTTCTTCTTCTTCTTCTTCCTTCTTCTTTTCTTCTTTTTCTTCTTGTTTTTCTTCATCATCATTTCTTCATCTTTTTCATCTTATCATCTTCTTCAGATTCTATTACTTCTCGTTATCTTTATCTTCTTCTTCTTCTGCTTCTTATTCTTATTCTAATTCTTCTCTTTTTTTTTCTTTCGTATTCTTCTTCTTCTTCTTCTTCCTTCTTCTTTTCTTCTTTTTCTTTTTGTTTTTCTTCATCATCATTTCTTCATCTTTTTCATCTTATCATCTTCTTCAGATTCTATTACTTCTCGTTATCTTTATCTTCTTCTTCTTCTGCTTCTTATTCTTATTCTAATTCTTCTCTTTTTTTTCTTTCGTATTCTTCTTCTGCCTCTCTATTTACAGTATTACTCATTGTATGTTATTATTCAAACGACAGTTGCATAAATAAATAACACACATACACACACATACACACACACACACACACACACATATATATATATATATATATATATATATATATATATATATATATATATATATATATATATATTTACACACACACACAATAAAAAGACAGAACACCGTTACCTTGACAACACTCCATATGACCAAGATGTTTCCGAACGAGCCGACAAGAGAGATACATCCTAAGATGACGACTTTAAATATAACAATACTCGTAACGTCATCTTCACCAGAAACGGCACCATTGTTGTCAGGACTGAGATGTGGAACCACAGTCAACCACGCTGAAAGGTTCGTGCTGAAAGATGTATCATTGGACAGAAATCTTGCGTCGTCGCTTTGTCTGGCGGAATCAAACGTTGAATTAGTGAAGCTGTCGTGTAGCGAAGCCCCGGAATACAACTGTGATTCGTTGATGAAGATGTTCTCAAACGGGGCAGAATATCCGTCAGAAACGGTGTAATTAGACACCGGAAATGGTTCCAGTACATTTGCGTCTGTCTGGTTCGTCACTTCCTGTCGCGATGTAGTAGTCAGGGCGTCTAGAAACGAACTACCTGGATTCTTAGTTAAATAATGATTCTGTGATTCTGTCAGGTTATTAGATTTTGAGATATTTGAAAGAAATTTGCCATCCTTACCGGAAATATTTAATTTCGCTGAAATTGAAACTTCCGGATCCAATATAACATTATTATCTCCATTTTCTGGCGTCATGGCTGAAGTTGTGTCGTTCAGTTTAAAATCATATTCTGTATTGTTTTGAAATATCCCCATCTCTGAAGTGATTTGATTCTTTTTTTTAAGTGTATGTATTTATTACTACGAATTCAAGACATAAGTATTTACAAATTTAGCTTTTTTTTTTTTTTAAATGATCCGACCTTCAAAGCAATAAAGTGGTCACAAACGCATTGTAGTGACCAAAACACAGTTGTCTCAAGTGACCACACGTATATCATTCGGCACAAATGATGACGCCATTATCACCTTAGCATTTGTAAAGTTCTATCGCTAATTTTATTGGCTAATAATGCATGTTTTAAATAATTATAATAGAGCTCCCAATTTCTTATGTCCTTACTCACTACTGACCAGACTAACCTGTTAACTATTTTCTGGATTTATAAATCAGTTTCTCCATTAACATTCAGTCAACTCAAAATCTGTCGAGACTAAGACACAATTTTCTTTTCAACGCATTTCTAAGAAATAAACCATACTGACTTTTTTAAATCTATAAACATTATCCTTTTTTGTTGTCCCTCCTTGAACAGTTCTGGTAAAACGTTCTTTTTTTTTTTTTTTTAATTGCGCCTAACATCAGTGCCTCGAGAAGCTTTCATGTCCAGTATTGTTTGAATAGTTATTACTTTCACACCTTGTTATTACAGCAATCCCCAACATGCAGTCTGAAGCGTGCATCTTCCTACTGGTCGAGTCAACGAAGAACCCACTCAAAACAGACGCTGTGGAAGAGACACATAAAACATAGTGAGACACCAACACGAGCAGCACTTAAATCAAAACATCGACAAGTAAATTGCAACCTGAGCGTTGTTAGATCTCGTAGAAAGGTTATAATTTTGTGATAGCTGTGTTTCGGTTTCCACTTTATTGAGCGAAGTTGTTTCCCCACCCCACCCCTTGTTTTCCCTCCATCCAGCCCCTTCTCTCCCCCACCGACTCCCACCCCCCAGTTAGTAATAAGTATTGTCTATTGTTAGATTATACAAATAAGTGTAATATGGATCAGGTAGGGGTTTAAGCAGAACTGGGACAGCAGAACCAGCAGAAAGAAGGTGTGACTGTTGCATGTACACTTATCTTATGGGTACAGACTTGTCTATGGCGATTGGCGATAGATCTGGGGTTTAACGCAAAATATGAGTATGGTAATTCATCTTCGTCTCCTCCTCCTCCTCCTCATTTGTATCTTCTTCTCGTTTATTCTTATTCTTAATGCAGCATCACCTTAGTCTTCATCATCGGCATCATCTTCTTCTTGTTGTTCTTCTTCTTGTTCTTCTTTTCTTCTTTTTCTTCTTCTTTCTCTTCTTCTTCTTCTTCTTCTTCTTCTTCTTCTTCTTCTTCTTCTTCTTCTTCTTCTTCTTCTTCTTCTTCGTCTTCTTCTTCTTCTTTTTCCTCTTCTTCTTCTCCTCCTTCTTCCTCTTCTTCTTCTACTTCTTTTTCTTCTTCTACTTCTTCTTCTTCTTCTTCTTCGTCTTCTTGTTCTTGTTCTTCTTCTTCTTCTTCTTCTCCTCCTCCTCCTTCTTCCTCTTCTACTTCTACTTATTTTTCTTCTTCTACTTCTTCTTCTTCTTCTTTCATTTGGGTGACGACATATGTATGAAGGGTTGTGGCTCTCGCTCTGTTGGCAGTTCCGACCACAGACACTAGATACCTAACTTAATAAAAAATTTTTAAAAATAGTTAAAGTAAAGGACCCTTTTCTACGCATTCATGTGTACTAGGCTTATAGGACTAGGCTTATAGGACTAGGCTTATAGGACTAGGCTTTTAGGACTAGGCTTTTAGGACTAGGCTTTTAGGACTAGGCTTATAGGACTAGGCTTACAGGATTAGGCTTATAGGACTAGGCTTTTAGGACTAGACTTATAGGACTAGGCTTATAGGACTAGGCTTTTAGGAATAGGCTTTTAGGACTAGGCTTTTAGGACTAGGCTTATAGGACTAGGCTTTCAGGACTAGGCTTTTAGGACTAGGCTTATAGGACTAGGCTTTTAGGACTAGGCTTATAGGACTAGGCTTTTAGGACTAGGCTTTTAGAACTAGGCTTATAGGACTAGGCTTTTAGGACTAGGCTTATAGGACTAGGCTTTTGGGACTAAGCCTGTATATTTTAGATCAGTCGACACTCGGTATGTGATGTTGTCTACATCACGCAGGCCGCCTGTAACTACTATGATTTCACCTGATACCCATTTAACGGAGCCAAGATCGTTTTTTTTTATAAAGTCCATCCAGGTCAGGAACCCAACCCACGACTTCCCGATCCTCAGGCTAGTGTCTAGCTGCGAGACCATGACGGCCCCCAACAAACACGCCCACAAATGTATTCTTTTATCATATACCTTGTGTAGAAGTTGATGTGGTCTAGCGGCTAGGTGCTCTCCTGCGTGTCGGAAGGTCGTGGCTCGGTCCCAAGCTATGCCACACTTTTTTTCAAAAATGACTTTCGCTCCCATGTCGACCCAGCCTTGTGTGGGTATCAGGTACAGTCTGGGGAAGTAAAGGCGGTCGGCGTGATGCTGACTACATCGCCCACCAAGTGTCGTTTGTTCTATACAATTTAGGTTTAGCCCTATATAGACAATTCGCCTAAAAGGGGTGGAAAAGGGTCATTTCCTCTTTTTTTTCAGTTTAATGGTAGTCTGGTAGTCTCTGTTTCAGCTTCGTAGCAAACGGGTCACCCCATCTTTGCTCCGCTCCTGTGCCAACGAAAAACACACAGAATGTTTATCACTGTCCCTTGGGGAAAGATTGACAAACTGCTGCCTTAGCATATCTAGCATACACACGCATTAAAGCATACGGTAGCCATTCGAAGTGCTAACAGAAACAGTCCGACATTAGAAATGCAGTTCATCATTGATGGTAGCAGAAGTCACCAACAGATCAGCAGTTGCCCACGCAATCAATTTTAATCACATAAGGGCACTACCAACATTGCGGCGACAGTCATCGCGCTATTTTTTTAATCTAAAATTCACACCACCACATTGGTCACAGTCGAAAAAAAAATCCAATGAAATCCGTAGCTCACAGTGTCACCCCATACATTCAACTTAAAAGCTGGGCGACGAAACTATATCCAGTCTGCAAATGGAGCAAACATGCATCGGTCACCGTCCGGCAGAAGCAAAAAATTCGCCTCGGCTCCAAACGGTGCCGCTGCCTAGCGTCTGTTTTGACCGGAATTATACAGTTTACAGTTTACTATAGTTAAAAATGTGCACATTCCAGTGTTTGTATTGAAAAATTTGATCCTATTGATAATGTTTACTGTTTATTAATGTATGTAGGAAATGGTGTAAGAAAAGAGGGAGACTGGAAATGCAGAAGGTTAGAGGGACTGCTTGCCCAATTCCTAACCTTTTGAAAACAAAAAAATGTTGTAAGTTCATTCGTTCTTATGTAGGCAGATGTATGTGTGTTCAGAACCTGCAAGAAAAACCGATGAAAAATCAAAGTCCAAACTTCCTTAGAAGTCTAACAACAACAAATGCACCTCGATGGTCGAAGGAAATCAACAGTGCTATGAAGACAGGCACAAAACCATCTCAATACTGATAAGCATCCATGATTTAGAAGTTCCTGAGCAGTTAGTCGTTTTTATGTTGTTGTTTGGAAGCCATTCAAGAGACCAAAGCCTTGGAGGCTGTCAGTTTCGGGGAAAATGATTTTTCACTGAACAGATTGCATGCCCTGGGTTACCAACTGGAGCGACGAGACACCCGTCGTTACATCAGCTAAAACAGAATGGAAGTCGTTAGTCTAATAACACTTGAAGACATACTCAGAAGGAGATTGGAACAATTATGGTCATGTCTGATGTGCGATGAAGATAATCTTAAAAAAGAAAGCAATAGACAATGTTTGGAAATGTTCTCCTCTCATTCAGGAGTTTTGTGACATTAACAAGCAGACAGATTGACTGGTTCTGCTCCAGTGGTGGTAAAATGATGCATAACAAGCTACACGTGATCAAGGCCCTTCAGGAGCAAGTGAACAATGCACAAATGGATCCTTTTGGTTTGGAGAGAATCGTACAGCTAGGAGTGACCAGAGAGTCTGGTAGACTACACCCAGGGGAGAGGTAAAACGAGCATATATAATCAGACTGCTACTGGCACCACCAGAATTAGAACCCTTCGCTGGCTGCTGAAGATGAGGACGAAACACTTATGGGAATGTCCCGAGTACTATTAGTTCTTTTGTCTGCATCATGCAAAAGGATTGGCTTTTCACCTTGCGTTTACCCTTGTGAAACAGTTCTTAGTGTAGTCGATTTTGTGTTTTAGTTCGAAGGATTCATTTATTTGCTTCATTTAATAAATTGTTACTGTAACATGCACCTGACGAGATACAGCCAAATATGCCAGGCAGTAGATCGTGCAGCCTATTGTTTGCGTCCTCATTGTTCAAATACACAACGGGGAAACATTGCTTTGATAAGTAACTGTTGTACTTTAGCTGCTGTTGGAGAACAGAAGCCACATAATGTAACCTTAGTGAGATTGTTCTTGTCAGTCGATGACAGAACAGAATGTGTATTCACGTATTGCGGTATGAATACGTCGTTTCTGATATCTTCTTCAAATTGTGCCCAGCCTGCTGACATCAAGATACAGACAAGTACCACGAAGGCTATAGAGGAATAGAATGTCAACAGACAGACATAAGAGTTAGCTGCCAATCCTTTACATCGCAGCGTTCTTCAAGCCATGGGCCGCGGCACATTGATGACCCGTAGAAAAGTCCAAATAGGCCGCCAACATTTTCCGCTTTATCATGTACTTGAGTATGGTTGGTAGCTTTAGTCTTCCCGGTTTGCATTCTGTAGGTTTAACATAACAGGGATGAGAATCAAACAGATACAAATCCTGAACCCCGCGCAGCCGCATAAAACAGTTATAAGAAAAAATCCACAGGGGAGCATGTATAGCACGAGTCCACCGATCATCAGCAGAAGATCCCTCGTCGACAATTGTTTCGGCCCATCACGTCCTAGACAATTTCAGAGAGTGAGCCGA